TACAAGAAATGTAAAGTTACACTATGTTCAAGTTACATTCTAAGATTACATAATAATCGTAATGCTATTTATACATTAGCATTAATTAATATAACAAGGTTGGTATTTACCTTGTGGGTGTCATATTACACTGTAAATAGAAGATATTATATTTGAACGTATTTGTATTATACTGGTAAGTGTTAAACGTTCACAGAAAATAGCACCAATGCCTTTGCAAAAGGTTTTTTATTCATGTCCTAAACTGTAATTTCGTTATATACAGAGAGTTTATAATAAAATTGTTCTTCCACCAGAGTACCACTTGTTGTGTTGTCCAAGATCCAACCTAGTCCGTCCAGATTGATGGATTTAAAAATGGAGCTCAATGTTTCTCCCGATTCAATCATGGATTTATTCATGGCACATAACCTATATATACATACATATATAAATATATATATATATATGTATTTATGTATGTATGTATGTATGTATAACGGAAGAAGGAAAGCCAGACACTTATAAGAAGTTATAACCCACTTATTTGACAGAGAAAACCGTTACCATTACGTTTTGTGCCAATAATTCAAACGCTATGTGAATAAAATTTCTAAATATCTTTTTATCATTAATATGAGACGGAATGCCAAACTTATAGCGCATGCATGTAAAATATAACTTGTTTTCCTATATATATTTTTACGTGGGTGCAAAATATAGGTAAAAGACCTGTGCGCACTGGAAGGTGACCTACTTTTTTCCCCAGATTAAAACCATTGATGAAGTTCCTTTTTACTTTTTCAATCAAGTGGGTTCGTGATCGTGACTCAAACTCTTGATAGCTTTTAGGGTTTCCATAGTCCACACCACCTCATCTCAAGCATGAGTACTTTGCCACACTCCACAAAACTTTCCGCTGCAAGCCCGGAAAGCAGTGACGCGTGGATAGAAATCATTGGTGTAAGAGGACCATCTTCTGGACATATTGAGCCCTTTGATAGCGCTTGGTTGCATCATGGTTCATGCCAGTCCACACCTACCCATGAACGAACGCACGCATGGGCAACTCCAAACTGCATTGTTTATTCAAACTAGTGTTTATTTGCTTATATATAGTAATTCAAAAAGGACAGGTAATATAGTCAGGTTATAGGAATATAGATATGGAGATAATCTTTGACCTACGATAAGATAATTTATGATACGAGTACGTTTATCTATCATAAAAATGAATGAGAATATAAAGGAATTTGGATATGAGGAATTGAGTATGAGATAAACAACTCTTTATGGTAATCTCATACCTTCATTTTTTAAGTATGAGGAGGTATGAGATGCAACTCTGCATTTGTTTTTATCATCCTTTGATTGTTAGTAATCATGTGAATGAGAATCGTACTCATTCCTTTCAAATCTCCTCTTTTTTCTTTTTGAAAATTAGCGGTAGAGATTTCACTAAAAGCCCAAAAATCCAGAAAGTCACAAAGACTGGTTGTAAAATAATTCCTTAAAGAAGAGATCAGTAATAACATCTGATGGTTCCTCAAGTTGGTGTGCGACTTCGTTTGCATTGCGGCAGAAATGGTTAGTTGTGACTCAGGTGATCTAGTATAGCATTGCTTTCGAGTCCTCAACAATATGTCCTATGGTCTAGCTTTCCTTTCAAATCCTTGATCGTTAGCTAGTAAATACAAGAATGAAAATGATACTCATTCCTTACAAATTCATTACTCCTATACGTAAATATGATTTAAATACATATATGCTACTTAGTACTACGATGTAGTAGTATTCATTTTTACTTGTAAGTTAAAGATCTTATAAATTATTATAATTCGATACCAATTTATCTCACACCCTTTATATATAGTTGAATAAAAAACGTCTAAATTACAATAGAGAGAGTTTAAATCTAATATGTAGTGGATCAAAAAAATTATCATATCCACCACTTGGAGATATGGATATAATAAAGTAATAAAAAAACTAATCACCCATGCTAGTAGGAAGAAATCATGGTTTTGTTTAGCTATATAGATGGGCACCTATAAGTGGGAAAGGTTTAAAAGAAAAATTAAGCATATTATGGGAAAGAAAATGGCAATAGCAAGAATTAAACGTATTTTAATATTTGATTTGTAGAAGTAATTATTTTTAGGCAAATGAATCATATATCGACAACATAACAATAGAATAATGATAACACAATAATAATATAAATAACAATGAATCATTTTTGCACAGAAATATCAAAATATTTTTATTGTAGCTAATTGTCTAAAAGAAAAGGCAAGTGGCCCTTTACTACAATGGTGGAAATATGTTGAGCTCTTGCATGATGGTATGAATTCAAATCCTACCGGTAGCTAATCTAACAAAATCTATCATTTGACAAATTGTCTAAAAGAAAAAGAGTTAATTTTTGTTTAATATTGCTTATCCAATGACTGTGAAAGGTTCAAAAGGTGGGTTGGTGCCTTCTTAATCAACAGTCGTGTAGGGAAACCTAAAGTAAATGCCTACACGCCTTTCATGACTTCATCCTCCATTATTGATGTATCAATTGTTTTACATATGGAGGGTCAAAGACTCAGTTTTACGTCTTTTTCCTTTTAAATACAAATTTTGACTAGGTTTTATCTCAGTTTTTGAACCCACACTTTGATACCTTTCATAAAAAATCACACTTCTCGTTTCAATTTTTACACTAGGCCGTATAATTTTGTTGACCACCCACATACCCATCGTGTTGGGCAATTAGTTACAATAAATATATTTTTTGACATTTTTGTATAAAAACAATCAGTCGTTATGTTAGCATTTCGATCCGTCGTTGCTAAAAATAACAAGAATAATCAGTCGTTATGTTATCGTTATGTTAGCATTTCGATCCGTCGTTGCTAAAAATAATTATTTTTACAAATCAAATGCTAAAATATGTTAATTGTTGCAAGTCGCCCATAGAAATAAAATTACTTTGAGATTGATTGAATTGGCATTTTATTCTAAATAAGGCATTTTTGTAACCATATAAAAAACTTATTTATTTATTTATTTTTGGAGGCATGTAACCTAATTAAAACGTACCCTTTCGGTTGCATGCTGGACAAAGTCGAATGAGTAGACTCCATCAAATTCAATTGAAAAGACTTCTCCTGCTGCTGCAAAGCAAAGGAACGCTATTATTTTAATGAAAACTAATGAAAATAGTTTGAAAATTTTGAGTTTTAACGATAAAGATAAAATAAAGGGTAAAATAAATAGTACCAGGTTTGACGTTTTAGTGTAAAAATGTGGTTTTTCATTAAAATGAACAATATCGCAAACTTTTCATTAAAACTTCCATTATTTTAGCACACTTCGAAACACGAATTGCACGAATTAAAATAATTGTTCTGATTGGAATTGGCTTTTATGTTGAATTTGTATAATGTTCATATTATTTAGGTTTGCTAAATCAATTAACAACTCCTTCAGAAGTGTTTTCAATGGTGAATATGATTTTGAGTTTCAAAAACACTCGCATCAAATGCCGCTTTTAGTTGTGTCAAAGACACATATAAACGAACCATCAACTTGTCCAATGTGAAGGAACCACACAAATGCACAAAACCATGACGGAAAAAGATATGTGCAAAACTGTCAAAGCAACCATACAAATAGCAGCAATCACCCTACACCGGAAAGGTTACTCAGCTCCGTAAGAGGAGAAAAGTGATGGGAAAGAAGAAGATAGCGAAAAAGACAATAAGTCGAGAACCAAGAACAAATATTTAAGAACTGTCGAATTAGTCTCTAAATTATTAAAATTAGATCTTTAAATTATTATTATTTTTTCTTGAAAAAATTAGTCCTCAAATATATAAAAATCTGTCAACTGCATCCTTAATATTGGATTCGAAGCTATTCTATTCAATTTTTTTTTTATCAATTTAAGTCATGCAACTTGCAAGTGATACACTTTAGAGGGTAGATTGGTAGTTTTTCATAGTTTAAGGAATTATTTTCTTCAAAAAATAAAAAGTGTATGAAGTTAACTCTGGACGGTAAATTAAATGTTAGGTTCGCAACTTACATGCATCATTAAAGGATTGTAGGTAAGACAACGATGACAATATCCTCTAACATGTATCATGAGATTTAAGTTGACGAAAAATTAGATAAAATAGCTTTAAATAATATTCAGGATGAAATTAGCAGTTTTCAATGAATTTAGAGACTTATTTTATCAAAAAAATAATTCAGGAATTTAATTTAGGATGTGCTATCCACACACCTCATTTTACTTCTTACACATCCCTTGATAATTTCAGTTCGTTGATCTTCTTCAATTCATCCGATCCGATGGCCAAAAATTAAAAAAATGTGTGAGAATGAAATGTTTAGATATCACACCTCTTTAATTTTCATTAAAGCGATAATTCAAAACTAAAATCGACGGTTTGAATAAATGTCCTTTCAAGAGGAAAGAATTGACGACAAACACGCTGTAATGCGCTTTATCCAAAACTTCGAATGAACTCATGACACCGACCAATTCAAATTGTTGGATTGGTCGGCCATACCAGTAAAAATGCTTAACCCTTCCCCCTTACCCCTTACCCCTAACTGAAAGAATGGCCCCCAGGTCAAAGAAACTTGAACAACCTAATTTCATATTTGTTAAAGATGTTTCCAATGTCACAAGATCATCTTTTCATTCACTTAGTTTTAGTCAAAGTAAAACTCAAAAAAAAGAAAAAAAAAAAAAAAAAAAGCAAACCTTAAGGCTTTAAAATTACATACTATGGTCATACCATTTTCTTTCCTATAAAGGGCAAAATTGTACTTTCACAGTTAATTGACTTGTGACCTAAGGAATAAGAGCTGAGGGGAAGACATGACCCGAACAGCCTAGTCTCCCAAAGGGCAAGAGGTGTTTTCGAAATTCCATACAGCCCTACAATTACTGCAGACAAATTTCAACTACCACATACTTCATTTGAAATCGGGAAGTAACGCAAGCAAGGTAAAAGAAGTGTATAAGTGTGACATGATATAAATACTCCGTAGCCAGGTCAAATCCCAACTTAAAATCAAAGATGTCGTAAAACAAGTACTTCTATATTCATATAAAAAAAGGGTTTGTGAAAAAGCCAAAACTGAAAACGCACTTGCAGGAATCATCCTAAAGCTACATTATATTCTTATTACAAAATCATCTCACCTAAGCTTCATGGGGGCGGTGGCAGATGCTGTGTCTTGGGTATTGATTCTTGGTTCTTCTGGTTTGTTTCCAATTTCTTTTGTGCGTCTTTCTCCGCTTCAGCTTTCTCAAGCAAAGCCTGCTGATGCATGGCTTTCATCATCTCCTTCATGGTCCTCTCCTCTCCTTCAAGTTGTGTTTTCATGATCATCTCAGCCTCTTTGTCAATCGGCTTGAAGTACTCTTCAATTTGAGCCTCCTGGTACATCAGCAGACAAAAGGATAAAAAAATTAAATTAAATAGAAAAACACGACTTTCTATATAGCCGGGATAAGCATCTATTTAAAATCAACAGTATATTCGGGCCATACGCTTTTTCCTAGTTGCAAGCGTATATGATGCTGGTTGGAGTCACAGTAAGTAATGTTTCTGAAGGTTAACTTATGAATTTGTTGGCCGAGTGGCCTCAGCAATGACAATAAAACTTACAGTTTCTTCCAGCTTCCTATTTAAAGTTTGCATCTCCTCAACCATACGACGAACCTCCGATAATATAGTTTGTTCAGGGATCTTTCTTAAGGCTAACTTCCGGGCATTTGCCTAGATAGAGAAGGGAGAGAGAGAGAGAGAGAGAGAGAGAGAGAGAGAGAGAGTCAAGTAATAAAAGAAATGGGAAAAGAAAATTAGTACTCAAAGTATTAAGGCAAAGAATACCACAGATAACGCAAATCCTATTTATTATAGGCGGTGAATGCTAAACTTGAATAAGACTAAAGCGACAAAGAAGGTACCAATCAAAGTAAGATATCCATTATCAGCTATTCATGCTTATACATGTAAGACATCCATATATAAGCTATTACATGCTGTTTAATATTTAAAAAAGTTCCATTGTAATTTGCATCTATTGCATATATTTTAGAGCTCCAAAAGCAAATATTATGCTTCTGAAAGTAATCAAGTTGCTTGTAAATGAATGATGAAGCCCAACACTTCCATTTGCTCAGAATGCTTCAATATTAAATTGGTGTACACTGATGTGTTTCATTTGCTCCTCCACAATTCAAATCCCACTTATTGTGTTGAGCTTTTTTCTTATCACCACTAGTAAGACAGAAAATGAAATCTGACAGAAAATTGGGGTTTAGGATAAAATCTTCTTCTTTATCTCTCTTGATCGCTCCATCCTTTTGATGGTAACATCGTGGACGCACAATACAATCAAGCCGTTCCCAGGGCATTTTCATAGTCATTTGCCAAAGTGGATGAAAAAGGTAAGCCTATAATATTTCCCAGATGAAAGACTGCCCAAAGCCTATGCATTTTCACCTTCACAATTAGGCTCGACATTCAAAGGGTATTTTTATACCAGAAAGTTATTCTATCATATTAACAGATTCCAGAATAAAAAACCAAGAAAAAAAAGAGGGTAAGGGAATCCAGTTGGTGGCACTATTTCAGAAAGTAATGAAGTCTGAAACGAAGAAATTGATAGAAGAAACCACAATACACATGCTCTATTTGAGAAAGTAACGAAGTCTCAAACAAAGAAATTGATAGAAGAAACCACAATACACATGCTCTATTTCAAAAGGTAATGAAGTCTCAAACGAAGAAATTGATAGAAGAAACCACAATACACTCGCTTTCCCTCACATAAGCAAATAACAGCAGGAAAATCTCAGTATACCTAATACATTTCTTATGTTTAGTCCTGTTCTAACAAAGACCTAAGATAAAGACCAAAGTTAAGTTGACATGTATGCACATCACCAGAACCATAGGTCCTTAGTAAATTTGCCAAAAACTAAGGTGATGCTTGGTTTATTAGAATGAACCTTAAATGAATAGGGCCATGCCAAGATTTCTTTGAAAAGGAAAAGTAAGGGATATGGAAATTGCAGAGTCTCCAAAAATGATAAAACCAAATGCATTCCTGACAGATTTTCAACTCTCCCTGCTCTACCCTCTACCTCTCTTCACAGTCCTTTCTTATTTCAATTGTATTCTATTTCAACCTTGATTCAATTCTATTCCAACGCTCATTTCAACAACCAAACACTGCCTAGGTGACAATTTCCAGTGCTCGAAGAAAATGAACAACATGAATACAACTCAGATTTTTTACAAAGATTATCATCACACTTCATCTCAGCCTAATAATCCCCACATAATAAAATCATCGATCGAAATGAAAGAATAACAACAATTTCTCTAACAGAGGCTTAATTTCTACCAATGCAAAATCAACAACAAAATGTTAAAATGATAACATTAAAAAAAAAAAAAAAAAAAAAAAAAAAACTGACCTCTTTTAGGCGCTTTTCAACCTCCAATCGAAACGATCTGATTCTCCGTTCTTCGTAGCCCGAAAGAACCCTCGCATAGAACAGAGCTTTCTTTCCGAATTCAATCAGCTTGTTCATAATTTTTCACTTTATCATCCACCTTGCTTCGATTTCAGCTCAAACGCTGTCGAATTTTAAACTTAGGGCATTCAAAGCACCCTGATCAATCGACAATCAGAAATATATATATATATATATATTTTTTTTTTGGAATCAGACAAAATACAAACGAAAATTCGGAAATTCAATTCAACAACTAGAGAACCTAAAATTTCGGAAGTGTGGATCGAAGTGCGAGATGTGAAGCCTTCTGACCTTTACGTGCGGCGGTGCGGGAGCAATGGCTGTCCGCTTGGGTGGAAGACAGGAATGCGAGTGAGCAGAGTAGGGCTTTGTTTGGGCGTCCTCTTCTGAGGACGACCTGCAGTTTTCAGTGTTTGGGTCTCCATTATGACGTCATATAGTTACACTTACACAGACGGGGGATATGTCCGAGTCAATGTCCAAACAACCTGTTACGCCTCATTTGTTTGCTGCCCCACCACCCGTAGGCCGTAATGGGAATATGGCTCAGGACGTGCTTAAAGTGACTTTACAAAAGTGGTGAACAAATTTCAAACACTATGCCTCATTTGTTACGCCTCATTAAGGGTGCAAAGTTGGAATGGAATTTCATATTCCACAATTAAAATTTTCGATATGAACCGAACATTTCCAAATCCAAATTGAATGAAAATTGAAATAGATTTAGTATTTTCGAGAATCTGAATTTTCGACCTGACTTTTTCACGGTGTTCTAAACTTATTTTGAAAAAAATTCTGAAAATTTTTGTTTTTTTTTATAATTATTTACTACAATTATGTATTTTTTTAATCGACTTTTATTGATAATTTAAAATGATTTTTATTCATTATTATTATTTTAATTATATACAACAAAACTTCTTTAACATAAATACTCTATAAAAGAATAGCTTTTTAAAATCATAAAAAAGAAGAATTTTTTAATTCCATCTTAAGAAAACACATATCCATATAATAATTGTCAATTAGTACTCTTCTATTGATTAATATCCTCAAAGTTATAAAATTAGTTTGGTCAAAACTTTATGATTTAATAGAGGTTTTACTGTACTTCTATATGAGAATGGATGAAACATGATAAAAATTAATTGAATTTATACATAAACATATGCCAAATATTATAAAGGAAGAATAAATTTGATGTACGAAAAAGTTTGAAAATATTCATAATCTTGTAAGATATATGAATTTTTGAATTAGGTTTTCAAATTTTCGAGATTACTCTGACTTTGAGAATTAAAAATAAAAATAAAAATTTGGTTCAAAATTTTTTGAATAAAAATTGGAGACCTTGTTTCTAATTCTACCAATCTTAACTCACCAATTACATTTTATCACCTAAAAAAAGTTTTAAGAAAAATACTCCGTTGTTGTAGCCTATTTTATCTGACAAGGGGAAGAGGGCCGGCGGCAGAGGAGAGAAAAGAGAGAGAGATGTGTTTGTAGAATTATGTAGAAGAATGTGTGTGTTATTCCCTCTACGTAGTGCCTTTATTTATAATAATAAGAGGGAGAAGAATTCCTTCATCCCTAAGGAATACAAGTCCATACAAGAAAGAATAACTAGAATCAAATCAAATCTAGGATTTATACAATCACACTTAAACTAGCAATGTTTACAAATCCGTGAAGTTTTTCATACAAATGGTAGATTTTCAAGAGTATTTTTGACACTCTTAAGGCAAAAAAAAAAAAAAAAAAAAAAAGAAGCCCACAACAAATTAATCCCAGAACAATGCTAGCAACCTTTGCATTGCCCTTATATGGTGCATTTGTTTGTCTTCACTAGACTGGATTGTGCTAGGTTCCCCTGTTAGTTCCTTGTACAAAAGAACTCCAGGCTTGTTTACATATCCGTATCGGAATGAAAATGTGAAATTGAATTCCAATCAAGAAATACTCCGATGTGTACTAAACATGGAGGAATCAGAAAAGCAGTGAGGTCCACACAAATTTTGGAATTCAATTCCTTGTATTGGTGGAGGATTCCCTAGATGTATGTGGTAATCCAATTTCCAATTGCTTGGGAAATCAGAATGACACTTTTGTTCCCTTTGTGCCCTCACTTATTTTTTTTTATTTCCAAGACTCTCCATTATAAACCCATTAACCCTAGTTTAATTATGCACAACTCCTTACTTTTTTTATTTCCATGCTCATTCACATTATGCACAACTCCTTACTTTTTTTATTTCCATGCTCATTCACATTATGCACAACTCCATGCATATGCCGAAGAGAAGAAACTACAACTTGAGTGAGAAAATTTAAATATTAAAGTAAGTACTTAAATTTATAAAAATAAATAAATAAACAAAAGCATTTTAGTGTGTCTATGAAATAAAAAAGCAATTTAATTTTTTTTTCTTCTTATTATTATATATTATATTAAATTTTATTAAAAAAAATGTATATAAAATATTTGATTTGGAACAAGGACTGCTAAATTAATAAACAGCTTTATGAAATTAATGTTATTTCTATTTCAATTCCAAAACATTTAAGTAAACAAATTCAACGAGAATCAAATTCTAACTTCTCCTTATTCCAACTCCTCAATTCAATTCTTCCTCAATTCAATTTATCTTATTTTCATTACGGTTACGTAAACACGCTGCCCTGTCTTGTACAATTCTTAGTGACCTCCCAGGATTAAATTTGTTTTTTATTTGTTTTCAAACTCTTTATTCACAAGATTCAAACCCAAGAGCTATTGCACAAATACCATCAAAATCGATACCTGGAAACCTGCTACACCACCAAGCAATTACTGCAGAAGGAACTGTTTATTAACAGACGACAGCAAGACGCTTAGTTGCGACTTAAAACGATATCATTCAAAACCGTACATAGAAATTTAACAGCAGCGACACTATCCGATCACTATCAGTCTATCATCCATCAAAGAGTGGGGAGTATATCAAACCCACATTTTGTATTTAAGGTCAGATGTAAAACTCTATATATAGACAAGTCATGATCGGATTTAGCATCACAAGGGTTACAGGAAGAGCTTCAATCCCTTCTTTTCTTCTTCCTCTCATTCCTCTCAGCCGAGTTCTTCAACTGCGTAAGGAAATGATAGACATTTTAGTTAACAGGTAACATCTCTTTATATATTTCAATTGACATGACACAACCAACAGCCATAGGTATGGTGGAAAAGAAGACCAAGACGAGGGTTTTGCTCATAGAGCATTCAGGAGAGCTTACCATGATAATCAGTATACGGACAAACACTGGCAACGAAGTCGGTGAAAAGGGTCAGGGCATGCTTGACATAGTCCAGGTCACCATGGTGTGCCTTCTCAATCATTTCCTGGGTGTCGACTACCATGTAGCCCACGAAAATCAAAAGCCCGAAATACAGCTGCAACATAATTTGAGACAACAATTAGACGACTGCAAAATATAGCATTTCCCATCGGTCACATGACTAATTGACAATTCCTTACCTCGAACTTGAAAAGTGCTGCAGAACCCCCAAAGATAGAAGCAGCAAAGTGCAACCAGATTAGCATAGAAAGGCCAGAAGAAAGCAAACCCCCCAGGTAAAGGTATTCCCGGCGCCTTGCCAACATGGCTGCTGCTGAGAAACAACCAAAGGCCAGAGCAGTTCCTCCAAATGCACTGATCAAGACACTGGCTCAAAAGAAGACAACAAAAAATCAGGACGCTATGTGAATTGAATTATCCTAGAGAGAAAAAATAACGGACGTAATAGCTAATACATAATTTTGACACAACAAAACTTTTGTTTATAGATGCGGTCACTTCTATCTTAAGAAATACAAGTATTATAGCACATAAATGGTAGAAAGAAGAATAATGGCTCAAGAAGTTTCATGTCATTACATGTTACTCGACTTGAACATCAAATAAAATATAGAGTACAAATGCTAACACATATATACCTTGGGTTAATCTCAATGGCCAGTTCAATTAAAGGCCCAATCGTAGCCCCCTCAAAGAGACCAGCAGCCATCAGGAGAGAAACCCTCTTCTTCTGCTCAACGGAATAAACACAATACATGAAAACAAATAAACAATTGCGATAACACAAATACATATGACTGCAGAAAGATAAAGAAAGTTAAACCAATAAATCCTACCTCTTCATAGGTTGGTGTGCAGAGTAACCACACCATGCATCCCATGCAAGAAAGAGTGGTGATAATGCCTCCGATGTTCCACAGGATATGGAGGTAGGCTCCAGCAGCTGATGCAATGAGGGCACAGCATAGAGTGAGGTAAACCTGTGAAATTTAAGATACCAATCAGTAAATCAAAGTCGTTATGGTTTGCACACAACCGCAAAATCCATCAAACCACATTCCCCAGCCAAAACAATCTAATCAAAGAAAGTCAGGCCACTAAAATGGGGGCATTCATACTTATTCCACTATCATTCGAGTAATCGGCGAAATCAAAACATCCAAGAAAAGCAACTTGACAGAGAAAGAAGAACACGGGAAGGCCCCGCTCTTCATGATTTTTTCATTCCCCACCGCAAATACAAATAACCAATATTTACAAAGAAAGGCTATGAAAATACTCCCTAATCGCAACATCCACATGATCTATGAATCTCTCTATTGTTGTCCCTAGTTTTCTTTTCCTAACACCAAGATTCTAGGTAACAAAACGAATTAAACCTAGATGAAACCCTAGATATCAAAATCAATACCTCCAGCACCATTTTCTCAGCACATAATTGTAGCCATCGAGAGAAATTAAACGAAGGGGGACCAAAACCCTAACACTTCTCGCACCACGCCTAAATTGCTCAGTCTAATACACAAACAGTGAATAAAACCAAGAAAACAGAGAAAAATACAATGAAATTTTCTCTCTTTCTAAATGATTTTCTCGGCAACAAAACAGAATCAAATCAAACGAGGATGAAATTCACTTTGGAGGAAGAAGAATCCGTACCAATTTGAGATGATTCTGAACGACGGGAGAGATCTGACGGAAATTCTTGAGAGACTCAGAGGCCCAGCGGTTTCTCGACGACGTTTGGGAATCGAAGAAAGACGTGAAGGCGTCCATCGTTGCTTGGTAGACAAGAAAGGAAGAGCGAGCAAGAGAGAATTTGCAGGAAAAAAGGGGAAAGCTGAAAGCAGATGCGAGACGGGGATCTGGAATTTGTAGGGGCTTCCTCAGCTTACGGGTTTTCCTAGAAACTTCCAGTTTTTCATCAACTCTAATTAATTTCTGAAGCGTTAATTTACATCTTTGCCCTTGTGGTTTTCATCGTATCCCCGAAAAATCGCGACTCTTGTAAGTTGTAAGTTGGCAGTTAGAGAGGTTAGAAGTTAAAAAGTATTAGGGGGTTCGTTTTTATTGGTTATCAATTAGTATAGGCTGATTGGGTTTGTTAAAAAGCTTTTTCGCAACTTGGGACTAGATCTTCTTCTAGCCTGAGTTTAAAACTTTAATTCGTATTTTGCGAGAATCAAATTTAAGACATCTTATATATAAATACATATATGTAATACTTTGTAAAATAATCAAACAAACACGCAAGCAATTAATATTTTTGTAATTGACATCATAAAGTCCTAATAAATTAATAAAAACTAATTTAGAAACATAAAATTAGAATGAATTTTATAAAAACCCTGCTCGAAAGGACATTGTCTTGGGTATGGACCTTTTTCTCTATTTTTTTTTAAAAAATTCTGGCTTCCAATTCGCCCAAACGCTGAGATGATAGCCTAAGCATTTAGGCTAGTTTATAATTCAATTTTGTTGAACAAAATGTTTTCTACATGATTCCACCCCGAAAACCACCTAAACGAGTCTTAAAACTAGTTTTTAAAGCACTGGTTAGATATGCTCTAGATGTCGAGTAGGTAACAAACAATGAGTTGTCACTTAGTACTACAGTCTAGGTATTTCTCTTTACTTGTAAGTAACAGGTCTTAGGTTCGATTCTTGCGCAAATGCGAATTTAAACTAAATTATTGCTAGTTCATTATGAGGCTTAACCCATTTCCTCACCCTCTTAGTATAAATAATATCGTTTATTCATAAATAAATAAATAAATAAATAATTAAAAATAAAAAAAACTAACAAACAAACGACAAGTTGAATCTCGGGGTCACACCAAAAATCAAAATGAATGTCATTTTAGCAATTAAATGCGTTATAGAAGGGCAGATAAGGAAATGGAGCAAAGATGGTTCTGGTGGAGACTAGAGGCTTCCGCGTGGATTGGCGGTTGACTGAGCTCCATGACACGTTCGTCAACCTTGACATCGCTTTCTCCGTAAGCAATTAGCAACCGGCGTCGGTGCCCTCTTGGCAAATCGAACCTTGCCACATCAGCAACATGACATGGCGTGTTCCCATGTCCTTTTTTACACCAATATTGTTCTTGACCAATAAAACAAATTCAACTAGATTTTGCATCATCGAAAAGAATCCAATGAAATGTGGTTAAATACAAAGATACATAATAACTAGAACACAAATTCACAATGATCATCCAAGTCTTAGGTTAAGATTTAAAATTTTAGGTTAAAATTTTACCCCGAAATTATTAAAAAATAAATTCAAACTAATTTTTTTAGTAATTTTTTAAAAAATAAAATTTATGTAGATTATCATAATTTATTTTTATGAACATTTTAACCTAAAAATATTTAGATTCTAATATAAGTTGAAAATTCACTAAATCGACTCATATAAATGTATTTATGGGGTTTTTTTTTTAATGAATTTTGATTTAAATAATTTTTTAATTATTTCAGCAGCTGGATTTATTTTTCGGCCATTATATCTTTCTTTTTTTTACTGTTGGATTTGATTATATTCGATCTCAACTGTTGGATTTCATGTATTTAGAAATTAAATAGGTTTGAATCTCAATCACTAGATCAACCAACGGTCCAACAGTTAAAATTGTCGGATCAAAAAAGAGCAGTTAGGCTCATTTACATTCTCATCATAAGCAAGCCCCACTTCTTATCAGCCCTCGCGCATCTCGAGCATTGGGCGGCACCTTACTGTGGCCTCCACTGTTCTGGGTGTTGCCATGCGCATAAGGTGAGCTAGCCTTTTAACTCTGGCTGAAATTTAGGCTAAATTGCCCAAATTTTAAGTTTTAACCAAAAACTTATTTTAGGTCCAACCATTGGAGAATGATTGTGCTAGTTTAAAACCTAAGGGCCTGTTTGGTATCCTGTTAAAAAAAATTCATCATTTCTTAAGAACATCTCTTGAAAATAATTTTCTTTATGACTCAAAAACTTGTTTAGTATGAAAAATTTTTAAATTTTAAAACTTAAATTGGACAAAGAGATCAAAAGAGAGGGGGTTGCAGGAGATGGAGAAAGAGAAGAGAGGAGGAAAAAAAAGTAAGAGAGGATCGGAGGAGTGAGAAAGAAGAGAGACTATCGAAGGAGATAAAAAGGAAGAAGAGAGACTATCGAAGGAGATAAAAAGGAAGAAGAGAGAGATAATGAAGAGAGGGGATTGGAAGAGAGAGAAAGAAGAAGGAAAAAAAAAAAGGAGAGGGAGAGAGACAGATTTGGAGTGAGAGGGGAGGAGAGAGGGAAAAGAAATGAGTGAGCTTTAAGTTTAAAAATTCTAAAAACTCACTTTGTGGTGTTTTTAGAGAATAGCCAATATTTTTAAGTTAGTATTAAGTTTAGTTTTTGAAAATAATCCTACCAAACAATTTTTTAATGCCTAAAAATTGAAAAGTGTTTTTGAGTTTAAAAAGTTGGATTGAAGTAGAGTACCAAACATGACTTAAATTTTTTGTTTTAACCCAAAAGTTAGAGATGGTTTAAGAGGTGAAAAGTTTGAATTTAAAACACCAATGAGTTGAATATGAATGACGTAACTACTAGGATAATTAAGGTCTAATTTGTGATTGCTGTGCTTAAAAAATAATCAGCTGTAAAATAAAATAATTGAGCGTTTATTTTGAAACAACTTTAAAATTGAGCAACTTTTGGTTAAAAAAAAAAAAAAACAAGTACAAACTGGGCCCAAAAGTATACATAACAGATGAAAAGCAAACAAAGATGAGATAAGATGGTGAGAGAAATGACAGGGAGGACAACAGAGAAAGAAGAAATGAAAGAAAATAAAAACTTAAAATAGTTTTTCATTTTCATTTTCTATTCATGAAAAATAAAACTTAATACTACGATCTAGTAATATTCTTCTTCATTAGTAAATGAAAGATTTTAAATTTAAATCTCGTTGATTACGAGTTCAAACTAATTTAATCTCTCACCGCTTAAAAATAACAAGGCTGTAACTATACAACATTTTTTCATCGATGCAAATTACTAAGACAAAGTAGGAGTTGGAGATTATGATACAACTTAGTCTAAAATCCAAAGCTCTAATCCCAACCGGTTAGTCTTAACGATGTTTGGTCCATCTAAAACTGGAGCCATTTCTTGCGTTCCAAGTTACAGCACCTGCCTCTGAAGCCTCAGCTTTCTCAGCTCTTCATGGCACGGAGCAAAAAACTCATGTCGAAGTGCTTCCTCGGCGCTTATCCTAACCCTCGGGTTCACTGCCAAGCACTTATCAACAAGATCAAAAAGCGGTCTAGGGATTTCGTTGTAGAAATCCAGCCTCTTTGTGCTCCTTCTACACCAATCCTGCAGTTTGATAGACGGCAAAGATTCTGTACAATAGAGGCCCTGTGACAAAATATTACTTTGCAATTTCAACAACTCTGCAGATTGAAATATCATGTACTAGATCGAAGAAGTAATGAATGATTAATACCGCTGGAAATGACGATTCACGGTCGTGTAGCTTGGCAACTTCCCATAAATCTTCACTGCCTCTCAACTTTGCGATGTCCTTTATGTTCCTGATAATACCCATGGCAATGGTTAGCAAAATATTTTATATAAAGAATACAGAGAGCTAAGATTACGCATAAAGCATTTGGATCGAAGCAAGGGTGTTTACTGTTCAGGATCGCCACCAAAGGGTGTTCTGCCAATCATGAAGTAGAGTAGAGTGACACCGGCAGACCAGATATCAAGCTTGGGGCCTTGATATGGGGATCTCAAGAGAACCTGCATAAACCACATAGAATTATGACAAAAAAAATCAAGAAATGAAAGAGCTGGTTTCAATCGTTTACCATAAGTTATCAAAATGGCACTGTTTTTCGTCATGATTCCATCTCAATTTATTTCATTAATCTAACAGCTTCATAGGAAAAAAAAAAAGAAAAAACTATCCAAACAATTTGGTTCAATTTCATGTGCAACTCAAGTACTCCAGAATGGGAGTGGAGAGTCAAACACAAGACCTCGGGTGAAGGGTTAAATGCTTTTAAACACTTGAGTTAGAAAGCTTCATAAGGTTGGTTATTGCTTGGCTAAGTTTCTTAGTACGAGTAACCAGTGTGATTCCAACAATGCATAAAGTTACAAAATTTACAGAGTGTAATGGCAGGATAAATTGAGGCTATATGGATAAACTATGGTAAATATAACAACTGTATGAACCTCACCTCCGGAGCTCGGTATCCTTTAGTTCCAGCACAAGGACCTTCTTTCTTTTGCTTTCCACCCCCTAAGACAAAATATGAACAAACAAAAGTAAAGAAATTTGCTAGTCCAACCAGATTGTCCAAGACTCCAAGTCACTGAAAGAAACAAACCTCTGCTTCTGATCAAATCTGCACCACCAACACCATTGCCAGTTAAGTGCAGAGGCATTGGAGTGATATAGAAAAGCTTGTCATCCTCATTTCCAGGAGGGGCAGGAATCCTCTTTCTCATAGGAGCCGAAACACCTGATGATATATGGTTTTGATTCTGCATTGCTTCCTGTACTAGGTTGATGAGCTCCTTCCTTCCTTGGGATGGCACAGGTTCCCTCAACCTTTCTACTGGAGGAGTCCTGATATTACTCACATCCTTTACTGATGTTATACCTGAGCCATCCGCACCCTGACTTTTGATTAGGCTCCGGCCACCTGAAGAATTGTAGGGCTTTATTTGGCTAAGAGCCTTTTTTTTCAAGTCCCTCGGATCAAAAGTGGATTTGAGACCTTTTTGGTCTCCCCATTGGCAATTACTAAGGACGTAGCAGTTGGCAACTTCTGAAGTGGGG